AAAAAAAAAATATACGCAAACGCACATGCATTTGAAACCAAAAAAAAAAAAAAAAAAAAAAAAGAAAAAGTTGAGAAATTGAAAAAATTATCACGAAAAACTTCCATTACACCTTTCCACAGAAAATCAGATTCGAAAGCAAAGGAAAACGAAGATTCATGTAAAAAGTATATGTTTATTAGAATTACTCGAATTCTTCATTCGCGGAACAATCGTATTTACAAATTAGACGCAAACTTAACAAGAAGCCTACGTACAGTTTATAACAAATTCATATCGACGAATATATCTGCGACAGCAATCGTTATTTCGTTTAACGAAATTAGTGCCGTAAAGAGTAGGACGGACCGAACAGAACGAACGATCGATCCGATAAACTATTTATTTGTGACAACCAGACTATCCTCGCTCGAACACTGTTCGATTAATGCACATTCGTTGACGTGTACGTATCGATATATCCACGCTATCGATTTTGAATTTATTTTCGTGAGAGCTTCTGAAGGCGTGCTTTCAATCCTGTGGCGCTTATTTTCCGTTTTTCCACTTTCGTTTTACTTTCGTATTTCTTTCTCATCTCTTCTATTCGTTCCTTTCGCATTCGTTGCTGCTCCTTTTTCCAGATATCCTACGAAATCCGTTATATAAGTATGAGGAAATTCGAGAGGATAAAGTATGATGGATGATGTACTTTGAAGTCCTGACAGAAACCAAGCCAAAGAATGAAGAACGAGTTCGGATCGACTGCGTCTAGGTTTTTCGAGCCTTTGGGCGTGTATTGATAAAATTGCATCACAGCTTTGAATTTGTTCTTCGCGTCCAGTAAAGCTTCTTGCTCGTTTGCCAATTCTGCAGCCGCTTCGCGGAAAACCGAATCCATCTTTTCTTTGAACGGCCCTAATTGTTCGGAATCCGTATTAACGATGATTTCACACTTGTCGATACAAACTGCAATGCAAACAGAGTACAAAGGTAGAAAAACAACTTCCATATAGAATTTTGAAAGTTAAAAAAAAAAAAAAAAATAAGGAAGAGATAGACATTTATAAATTCTTACCACGAAGTTTCGTTTTTAACGTTCCTAACTCGGCTGAAAGATTCTCGAAATTAATCGTGGATGCCGCTTCTATGTCTGCTGGTTCCGGAATCGGCAAGGGTAGCGGTTCCTCAAAGTTGTGATCCTTCTCTTGTGCTAATCTTGCCCTGACAACATAATGGAGCAAAGTAACGCCAGGTATATTCGACTTCACGTCCTTCAACTTCTCTAGAATCTCAAGACCAAACCCGTCAGCTTGGCCTCGCGTCCTGTTTCCACCGTTCATGTAATTGCCGAGCGTGAGAATTAATGCAATTACTTTCTTCAGGGATCTGGAGTTTCGGAGAAAATCGCAGGTGCTTCGTAGATTCGTTAACTTCGATGAAATGGAGGAGATTGCATCTTGAAATTCGGTTTGAAACGTCAGACACGCTACCCTCTCGGAAAAGTGATTTATACCGGAAAGTTTCTTCAGGAAAATCTCTGGTCGATCCAGAGGAACGTTCGGATTGCTCTCCTCGAAAGCCTTTATGTCCTCCAGTTCTTTCCGTGTTGGCAACTGCAACAAAATTTAAATCGAAGAATGTTTACATCATAAAATCTGAAATTTTTTAATGATCCGCTTCATCATTTCAAAAATGCCTACTATTTTATAAATCTGCTGCAACACCTCCAGACTAACAACACTGGTGTCCAAATTGTAAACCGCGTTCTCAACCTCGCTAAAGTCCACTCTTCGCAAGCTCTTCTCCAGAATACCAACGGCCTTAGATCGTTCCGAGTCGAGGATCTTTGCTGGCTGTATCTTAGACGGTTTCGAAGCCTCGTCCGCTTCTTTGACCGGCTTTCTGGCGGTCACCTGACGCGAAAACAGGTTTGCGAACTCTTTCATGTCCAGATTTTTCTCTTCCTCTAACTCCGCCCATAGTGGAATCTATCAAGATCACACAATGAGCATCTAACCTTAACAATCCTCCCTCTTTTTTTTTCATATTAAGCCAACCTGCGCGGCCGAATCTGAAGCGTCGACGGAACCATGCTCTGTTGGTATTGCAGGCACCAAAATCCTGGTCCAGTAGAGTGGTTTCATAGGAATCTCGGGACAGAGCGGCTCTTTCCTCATGCCTGGAGGAAGAACATCGTTCTGATTATCGGAAAATCGACAGTATGTTTCGCAAATAAGTCCTGCTGTTCTGTTACTCACACGCTCTGCTAGCTGGATTCCAACCTCCAACTGGAGGTGTGGGTAAAGGAGTAGGTTGTTGCAGTGTTCCTTGAGTTCCTGGTGCAGGCGGAGGAGGAATTCCGGGTACACCCATAGATGGTGGTGGTGGTGGTGGAAGTGGTGGTCCACCGGGAATATCTCCTATTCTAGCAGGTGGTGGCGGTGGCGGTGGCGGTACACCTATCATAGGTGTTGGAGGTGGTGGGGGAGGAGGTGGCGCTGGACCTCCGGACACTGAACCGATCGAGGATGTCGAAGTAGGAGGAGGCGGTGGAGGCGGAGGAGGAGGAATCGGAGGACCTGCATGTAATCCAGTGATAGAGGATGCCGAGGATAAAGATGAAGGTGGAAGTGGAGGTGGAGGTGGAGGAGGCGGTGGCGGTATCAAATTGAACAGAGCTGTTTGCGTCGACGGCGGAGGGGGAGGGGGAGGCGGGGGCGGAAGTGGTGCAGAGGGTACAGAACTTGTTTGTCTTCCGATTGAGGGCGCAGGGGACGGAGGTGGTGGAGGTGGTGGAGGTGCCGGAGGAGCAGGTGGTGCTATGTGCATTTCATCTGTCGCTGATTGTAAGATTGGTGGAGGTAAGGGAGGAGGTGGTGGGGGCGGTGGGATTGTTGGTAACGAAGTTATACTGCGTTGAGACGAAAACGATTGTGTAGAAGTGCTGCAGGCGGGTAATGGAGGTGGTGGCGGAATGGAGAAAGATGGTTGAGAAATAGAAGCTACATTGTTTTGAGAACGATGATTTAAAAAAGGCGAAGGTGGTGGCGGAGGAGGAGGTGGTGGTGGTGGAGGTGTACTCGTATATGCAGGAGAGGAAGAAATTTGTTGTAGCGGTGGTGAAAGAGACGAAATTACAGCCAAAGATGATCGAGTAACTCCTGCCGCGTCGTTTTCGGCAGCTTTCGTGTCCTTCGAATCACTTGTGTCCGATATCGAAGTGGTACTCGAAGATTGCTCTTGAAAGTTCGTTGAATCTTGAACGATAGCCCTCTCCAAAGGTGAACCGAATGTTTCGGAAGATTTAACTTTCGACAAATCCTCGGAACTTGTTTCTGGGAGAGCTGTCGTGGGAGATGTCTGCGTGGATTTACCTTGAGTAGTTTTATCCGCATTTTTGGCAAGTTCGCGAAGTCGTTCGAGTTCCCGTTTCAGTGTTTCCTTTTCTGAATCTCGTCGGTCTCTCAAGGAAACTTGTTCGGTTGGACTAACCGATATTGATGGCGTGTCTCTACATTGAGACTGATCTTCCTGAAACAAAAGAGCACATTCGTTTATTTCGGCTCTAAATGCTTGATCTTTGATACCCAGTAGAACGAACAGACATCTTACTGTAAGCTCCTTGTTCTGCGTAACACTGTCAAACGTAATCGATCCAATAATACCATCTGATACGAGTCTGGAATATATTCTAGTCACAAATTGTTCAACTTCGGCTTCCGTCAATATCGACTTCAACTGTTCTGGCAGAGCTGAGGTTAATGTACCAACGATTCTTCGTTCTAAAAGATCAAAACACTCTTAAATATTTTTCTGCTTCTTTCTATCACGTTCACATTTTCTTTCATGCAATCTCACCCGATCATTCGTTTCAAAATTAAGCAAAACTCGAAGAAACGAGACAATCATCGAACCTGTGCAATTCTCACTGATCGAGCACGACTTTATGATAACTTCGTTTTTGGCTTCAACACCGTTCCAGCCTTCGTCCGGCATTGGCGAGTGCTCTTATCTGCATGTGACTTTGGAGTTTTTCAATCACAAGATCACGACATAACAAATGGATTTTCGCGAAAACTCAACGGTAAAATTCGTAGCGTCGTCGTCGTCGTCGCTCGCTTTCCGCAATTTGGTAAATGTCGCGCGATAAGTAAACGTTGACCGTCTTGTTAACCTCTGACAGCTTCGAGATAATTGCCAATCGTATAGTCAAACAGTTCGTTTTTAATTAAAACATGCTCCATTCCGTCAAAACGATCTTGAAATTCCCAGCTATTCAAAAGAAACACCACCCTGATAGCTCGAGCTACCAACGTCATGTTGAATCGGTCGTTATGAATTTTTTACGATATCTTGACGAATTTCACTCGCAAAATGAGAACGTAAGCTGGTCGTTGAAACGGATTCCACCGCGAAACACGAGCGCGACACATGGCGAAATTACGCCTCTCTGATAAATTTTATCTCGCTTCTTATCGAAGCGAAACTATTCTACTCTTAGTTATTCTACTCGTTATTGGCGCTTCGCGAGTGTCTCGGCAAACAAGCTTTACGACTGCCTTCGTTTCCTGGTTGGGAAACTAAACAGGAACTAGAGAGTGTTTTGAAGTACTTACGTGTTATTATTTTTACAAGCGATTCAATTATCGTTATATAATCAATGTGATACTCTATTAGTTGCAACAAGCTCGTATAAAGAAAGATCTACTAAGAACGTGTCGAAATAAGTATTTTTTAATAATTGGACTGCATACTTTGAAACATCTTAGACCTCGTTTTTAATTTTCATATCGAAATCACATTCGAAGGAAAGATACGGAGCACGCTCACCTAAAAGGGGGGACATGGGAGATGGTTCGACCTCGTGATTCCTCGAGACAAACGTCGATGGCGCCGGGGCTGCTTCTTCCTTCGTGGCATTCGTTGCACTAATTAATTCATCAGGATCAGTAAACACGCTATCGCTTGACGATTTCTGACTAGGTGGCATCGAAATCTCAGCCACGACTGTGCACTTGTTAGCCAACAACCACGAATCCGTGACCAGAAGCGTAGGTTCTTGTTTTTGTATTTGATTCGTCGCTGGTATTAATAATGTTCCCGATGATTCTTCTTTGACCTTTGTTTCCTTTGACTCGATCAATTCTATCGATTTTCCAGATCCATCTTCCTTTTCTTTCTCGTGTTTTTCCTGAGTCTGTGACTTTTTCTCCGGTGACTCTGATATAACTGGCCCGATCTGTTGGAAGAAAAGGACGGAAATACATAATACGAATTTTTTTCATCATACTTTAGAATCATACATCTTTTTGTAAAAAATCAATTGAAACTCCAAGCCATTTAAATATTAAGGTTAGGAGAATATTTATCGATAACATGATTAAAATGTTATCGATAATCGGGTAACTAAAGAAATTAATTTCAAATCCCAAACTAATTGATCTTGTCTGTTTATATTTTTCGTTTTATTAGCAGGATATTTGCAAAATGACATACAGCATGTTATTAAAGTATGTGAATCATCGTTGCGCCAGTATTGTAGCCAGTTTCAATTATCAAAAACATAGCAACGTTAACAATATGTGACTTTCAACCGATTTCACGCATATCCGATAGATTACCATAAACTTTCAATCGATCAATCGACCCAGGGAAATTTCAATTATTCTAAACTCTAAGAATCTATCATTCAACGCCTTATCCTGTAAGGGTGGAGTCATTGCAGGAACAAAAATTGACGTACCATCCCAAAGTACAAAACATAATAGAATCTTGTTCTCCATTCAAATTTTCCTCTAAAACTGACCTTTCTCTCGATAGAACCAGGTGGTTTCGGAGCTTGCCTCTTGTGAGGTAATCGCTTTTCTGGCCCAGTTTTCTGACATTCTTCCACATTCTTAGTAGGTGTTTCTTGTGTTTCGGCCGTTTCTCCATCATCCCCAGTATCAGCCGCGTCATCAAGACCATCCGCTATGGATCCTGGCGTGCTCGCAGTTCCATCTACAGCTCCTTTGGTCTTCTTTCCCTTCTTCTTGGCTTCGCTTTGCAGATTACCCATGACGGGGTCGCGCGGCGACGCTTCCTCTGCCGCGAGACCGTCAGGGCAGGTGGAGGCGGTGGCTGGCCCGGCGGCTGGTGCAGCGGCTGCGGCTGCAACGCTGGTGAATGCAGCTCCGACGTTCCCGGCATAAAACGCTCTGAATGTATTAACACAGAAGCGGGCGATGTCGCGCAGCTTTGGCCTGATTTGCCGTGGCGCGGCCGCGGCTGCGCCCTCATACACCCTTGTCTCCATTCTGACCTCGGTCGATACCAACAGTACTCTGCCTCCTCTGCAACAGTCGCCGGTGTCCTCGAGCGCGAACACGCGTGTTTGTATACGCTGTTCCTTGCGATGTTGTAACTGCCAAAGAGATCCTCTAGGTCAGTGCTTCTTGGGGATATTGAGATCCTGTTCTACGGAAAATATTGTTGCCGTTTTATAGTACCCGATTAACAGAAATCCGAGAATGAGGTAAGAGATTCGCGATTTTCCTTTGAATTGAAAGATTCAATCATTCGATATGTATTTTAATGCGTGTGATCAATGATATTTCCGGCTTGAAAACCGAAGTCAACGTTCTAACTTTGCAAGTAACCATCGACTGTTCTGTCTTATTGTTGTTGCTGTCACTGCTACACCGCTGACACAGATAGATAAGCCGCTTCGGAGAAATATCAGAGCCATGAATATCAAAGAGTGTTTAACATCCGACGACACATCAACTCTCTTAATCGAAACACTCGCACCGGCTTGACCTTGAACATTCAATACAGTATGGTATTCTGGACCGATCGAACAATTCTTCCTGCCAGGTAAGAAGAAACTTAATAGAGATTTTCAAATTCAAAACTTATTCGTGTCATTTCTTTCTATATTTTTCTTATACTTTGTATTATGCTTTAATCTCAAGATAGGACTCTATTGAAAGTTTTTTTATTTGATTCCATAATATCCTTCGGGCCATTTGGTCATATAAACACACTCGCTCCGGTTCGACTTGAAACATTCAATACAATAAAGTATTCTGGATTGATCGAGCAGTTCTTCTCGCCAGGTAAGAAGAAACAGGTAAAAAAAAAATTGATATATGTTTTAACAATTTTATGTTAACAATTTCGATAATTGCGATGCACTTCCAATCGAGAGCTTTTCCTTATGTATTCTTACATCACTTGGACATAAAAGTAGATTCAGAAAGGACAAACACACGTTCTGTGGAAATACAGAGAGATATGGAGCTAGGAGTAATCAGATGTTTATCGTGAAATTATTGTCTTTGTACTTGGAAAAATCTACCTACACGAAGAAATTACGTAACAAGAAACAATAGACTAAGGGCTATCACCCACTTGAATACCACCGCACTTTAACACGTTAAGTGCCCAGCCTTACTTGCCGTTTCGTTCACGTCGCAGTCAGCGGGCCACTTGCCGATAGGCGAGTCAGAGTAAAACAGATAGAAAAAAA